GGTGGATTCTGATAGTGATAGTGGACAGTGATAGTTTCTTTCTGGCTGCTTTCAAGATTTTTTTTTTGTTTGTCTTTAGACAAACAAAATTGCCTTTCTAGAATTTTAATTATGAAGTGTTTGGCATGAGTTTCTTTGGTTATATTTTATTTGAGGTTTATTCACTTTATTTCCTTAACTACATTTTGAAAATCTGAGACATTATTTCTTCAAATACTCTTTCAGCTAGTTCTTTCCCATCTCCTGGGATTCTGATGATATCAATGCTAGGTTATTTGTTTAGGTCTACTCAAAATAGCCAAAGTAAATATGCTCATTTATAGACCCAAAGATACAGGCTCTCTAAAACGTATAAAAATAAGAAGCAAAAGCATATGAACTTAAAGTTAGGCTTAGAAGATGTTTCAGTGAAATGATCTCAGTATCCATCTCATGATTATCTATTAATTCACTCAACTGAACATCAATGCAATGTTCTAAGTTACATAAAAACCTACTCTGGGTATCTCTGAGGAAAGCAGTTACTTCTCTCTTGTGCTTATCTGCTTTGTGTTGTCTGTCCAATCCTGTTTTTCCATCAACCCTGTCAATTCTGGGGCTTTTTTTTTTTTTTAAAGAATATGGGTTTTTTCAGGAATGTTCATACCATGCTATAACAGAAGCAACTGGATAGCTCATTGCTGATTACTCCGTTCTGGGAGACAAACAGGGAAAGGGGCTGGGAGGATTTCATTTTATGTACACAGATTTTCTTTAAAGCCCTATTTTCTGTTTTGTACTGCACTTTCATCTTCAGCAATGCCGGAGGCCTCTGAGTACAGGGTCCCTCTGATTCAATGTCACCAAAGGAAAAGTCTGTCCTTCAGCTGGGCTGGGCTCGAGCAACCACCTGGATGTTAATGTAGGGAGATAATCTGGGCATCAAAATTCTTCTTTGACAGATTTCTAACAAATCTGCCTGTTTTCTTTTTCTTTTTTAATAATTTTTTAACTTTCTTATTTTATTTATTTATTTTTTTAATGGAGATACTGGGGATTGAGCTCAGGACCTCATACACGCTAAGTATATGCTCTACCACTGAACTGTACCCACCCCGCCAAATCTGCATGTTTTCAATCCTGCTCCTAACCTTGACCTCAGAGGTACTTGATGTCTCAAAGACCTAAATCTGTCTAGGGTTGTCTGGCAGGGACTTTATTTGTTTCTTATGGGTTTTTTCCCCTAAAGGTGGTGGATACAGCTTTCTCTAGTCTGATGAGATGTTTAGCATTCACCCATCTGCTGTCCAGTTTCTAAAATTCTGTTTACACCTCTATTGGGTTGTTGTTCCTTCTCACATTCTCTTCATCTTTGAGGGTTTCTGCCTTCTTTGTGAAATTCTTTACTGTCATTGGATGGGGTTTAGAGAAGGAGCAAAACTGACGTGTTCATTCAGCATACTTAACTGCAAGTTGGTTTCTTTAAGTTAAAAAAATCATGAGATGTAATGGTGGTAAGAGTAAACTCTACTTGCTAGGAACCATGCTAAACTGGTTGCTGAAACTCGGCCTCTGTGCCCCACTTACTGAATTGAGACTTGAGGGCAGAGTTCTGGATGAAGTAGAAAAGTCAGCTTTATTTCTTTGCCAGGCAAAGAAAATTACAGTGAGCTGATATCTCCGAGACAGTGAGCCTGCGGGGGAAAGGAGAAAGGGGGTTTTATACTAAGAACTGAAGAAAGGGTGTGGGTTTCCATAGAGATCACATACAGGATAACAACTTGTTGCAAAGTTGTCCATGTTTTTGTAGATGCAGTGGTCACCTTTCTTCTGCTGGGTATGATGTTCACCTCCCGCTTTGGAACTCTAATATCCTTGTGCCTAGAACAAAGATGCTTAGGAGAAGGGTCTGTGAAAAAACTAGAGAAAAACTTGTGAAGTTTAAAGTCAGGTTGATAAATGCTTCTGGCATTTTAGGCAGGCTGAGGCCTGAGACCTCCTATGACCAATAAGAGTTGTAGGTAAAGATGTGAAGTTTCATAGCTTCTGGTTCTCTTGACAATTCCATTTCTTAGTGCAAATCTTATCTGTCTACCTGTGAGTCCGAAGACCTGGTTGCTTATTCCTGGTGTTTAACTGTACTATAACCTTACTCCAGCTTCTCCAAACCTCAAACTGCTCATCTGTCAAATGGGGAAAATAATTACTGATCGCCAAATCATACTCTATATGAATGACCTCTTAAAATTATTGATAGATATAGACACCCATAGGAGGTAATAATTACAGAACTGGCAGATTAAGAATAAACTGTATGTAATACCCTTTGGTTTACAATGTCACCTGTATGATATACCATGGTGTAAACGTCTATTTCATTTGGGAAGAGTTTGAGGCCAAAGCAATGACTACTTTTGTCAATTGTTACCATTCAGCTCTTTCAGGAATCTTAGAAACTTTAAGGGAGAAAATGTCCTCATTATTTAATATCTTCCAGTGGAAACTGCCCATCTATATACTTTTCATTACTGACGAGAAAAACAACAGAGTCTACCCTTGCTCACTTTAGTATAACCTGAGTTTTTATAAACTGCCCTATTTTATCTCATTTCTGATGAGTATATATGTGTGCTTTAAAGGCACATGAATCAATCTGCAAGGCAAAGTTCTAGTGCAAAGCCACTTAAATGCTCTTTTCAATTTTCTCAATTGTAAAGAGGTGATAACATCTATTTCATAAAGTATTATTTAGAATTAAATAAAAAAAATCAAAAATTGATAAATGATGCCCTCAGGACAGTGCCTGGCATGTAATCAAGACTAAACCATGTTTATTATTATTACATATCCTAATATAATAATCTTATTATCAATGACATTTTTTAATCAGAGGATGTTGCTCCCTACCAGGTTACCAGTCAGTATCTTCTCACAGATTGCCTATATTGTGGTTATCTCACTATTAAAATGATAATAATTTAAAAAGATAAAATATACGCAGTCTCTCTACATCCCTGGAGTTCTTATGCCAAATGTGTTATGCACATTTAATACACAATGGAAATGGCTTCTCCAAGCGACTGTTTCTACTCCTATGATTTGGTTAAATTGGCCATTTCCTCCTTTGGTCTCTACACTGTACTGGTGGACGTAAAACATTTCTGTCCATCCTTTTCGTATGTCTTTTCCCCTTTATTCTAAGCACTATGAGAGTAGTTATTTGTGGTTCTCTTGCTTAATAATTGTTTGGGAGAAATGAATAAATCAACCACGGGTTTCTTGTCCGTTTGACAATTTCTTTCTTTTTATAGATTATTGACTCCAAAAGTTGTGGTAGCCAGCCTCGTACCTGACTGCTTTGGGACCTTACTCCAGTCTCATAACTTCTCAATATTGTCACCATCAATTGTAAGTAATAATCATTTCTGCCCATTAAAACACTGTATACGAATGAATTTTGAAATCTCTGAGTAATATGTCAACCCAAAGTTAATGATTGATGACTTAGCCAGGAAGCCAGGAGCATCAGCTGTCGGCCAAGCGTGGTTTTAATTTGGAACGCCATCTAGTGCCTATTGGTGCTAACCACATCCTATATTGTAAATGCCTTTGGGCAGGAAAGGGTTGAGACCAAAACAAATCCCATTTATTAAATTGATAATTGGATTTTTATACAACCTACACTTCAGTGCAATCTACTTCTTGGGGTTTTGTTTGGGGTATGTGTGTTACAATGAAGTCTCTGGATTGATCTTAAGCACGTTGTCAAGCCACAAACCCTTTAAATGACTTTATCCTTGTTAGCACATAGTGTTCAGTAAATTTATAATACATAATATTATATATAGCATTACATTTTCATAGATTTCATATACAAATCTATATGTAGCATATGTAGTAAATACAGTATATATATATACTATATATACTATAGAGAGATTTATATATAAATATATAGTACTAATATATTTTATACTATTATATATTTTATACATAACTATAGTATATATAACATTATATAGTATACATTTTGTATGCAAATCTATAGTATGTAATGTAAATGAATATATTATATGCTATTTGTTAATTATAAATAAATATAATTAATTTTATATTTAATAAACATCATATAAACATAAATTATTAAATTTAATACTCAGTTTTAATTTCTAAAGTAGTAAATATCTATATATATATGTAACTTACCTTAACAAAACTTTTGGGGTGGGGGCTACTCATTTTCAGGAATGTGAAGGGATCCTGAAATCTAAAGTTTTGAGAACCACAGTTCTAGGCTCTTCTCTGATGTCTTAATTTCCCAACCAGATTGGTAAGGCCTTGAAGGCAAAGGTTTAATCAGCATATTAACATTTTAGGGTTTTGATCTTTTTGTTCTCTCAGTGGTCTGTTTTTCCTATCAGATTTATCACACTGTGTGACAATTACACTGTCTGTAGCTGTCCCACCATGTCTAATTCCTTAAGAGGAGACACTTTGCTTGGCTGGTCTTTGTTTTTCCTATCTCTCCTAGCATCCTTTGCTTAACAAGTGTTCAGTAAGTTTGTGAAAAGCTCATGTGTGGCATAGTAATGAGCAAGCAAATAAAATGCAATAATATGTCCTAACAAATCTATCAAAATTTATATGTCCCTGTTTCCTCCAAAGCAGTCATTGTGTAAGGGCATGTCTTTATTTTGGTTAAGGCTATTGCCTAATATATGTTTGCATCTTGTGCTTTATAATTGCCTTCCTTAGAGGCCTAAACTGAAAAGGTGTAAAGATGCGTATCTTCTCGCTATTGACAAATCCTTTTCTTTTGAGGGTACGTTTGACTTTTGAAACCATTTAAAGTCATTTGAAAACAAACCTGAAGAATAAAGTGGCTATTAATGCCCTCTTGTCTCACTTACATGGTTCTAATAGCAACTTCAAAATATTAGGTAGATATGTTTTGCACTGTATTATTCCTTTGGTGATACTCTCTATGTATTTATTGAGTCCTACCATGTGCTTTATTATTATGTTCTCTGTTGGTTTCCCTAGTGTATTTTGAGGGTAGGTCAGGGGATAAGAAACAGAAACTTTGGTCTCAGCCCTTCCCCACAGGCTCCTGGGGGAAACATGTTGGTTCAGGTCTGTTGTTTCATTGTCGACCATTTGCCTGTAGAGACTGAAAAAAAGACATAAAAGTTGCTCTGGATTATTTGTAAGAATGGTTTGTGAGGCTGAACAAAGAAGACTGGAGGGCCTACAATCTTATGCAGGCCACAGTTCTTTCCTGTGTATTTTTTTCAGGCTGTCCTATATCATCGGTCCTGGGTGCACTGAAGCACTACACTTTACGCTCCTTGAGCAGGCAAGCTCATGGATTGGCTGCTAATATTAGCCTCATCCCTTGGTGAGTCAGGAAAAAGCAAGTTTTAGCCACTTCCACTTGGGGCCTATAACAAGCAGACAGAACCCTTTTCTGGCATGGTAGAAGGAGGAAGTGAAAGAAAAATCAGTTGTCAGCCTCTGATCCATACACTTGTTCCAACCACTCTTCTCGCTGGCTATTTAAGTCTCTGTCTCTCTCCAGCTCCATTTGGACCTAATACAGTGCTCTGCTTCTTTAACTTAGTCCACCAAATTTCCAAACCTGAAAGACATGAACCAAAGTTAGCCAACCCATAATATTCAGAGTGTGTGTAAATATAGGAGCACACCATTTATTGCATTGCAATATGTAATCCTGCCCTCAATTTATTGCTGGCTATCTTGGGCCCACCAATTATGAGTGAAAGACCACATCCTTAATCTGAATTTTCCCTTGGAGCTCATTTGGAGCTCATTTTCATAGGTTTTTTTGTTGTTTACAGGCTTGTTCAATCATATTTGAAAGGCTGAGATTCCAAGGACATCCATAGGCTCTAAGGTCATTTGAAAGCCAATGGTCAAAAAATTGCATATCCTCCAATGTTTTAGAATGGTTTCTAAAGATTCTGATTCAGAGCCTGTAGGGCAAACTGACTAACCAAGTGTCAAAGTATAATTTTCAAAACATGACTCTCATACAAGTACTGAGCATGGGGAACTTGCACACGGGTCAGAGAATGACTAAAGTATTAATGAGCAAGCAAGGAGGATGACAAAATTAGGTCAAAGCAGGATACGGCGGAATGAAACATGTATTCAGTCAGGGCAGGAAAGAATGCTAGAAGGCTGAAAAAATCAGATACAAAGTTGGTTACTGTCCTATTAGGCGATACAATCAGAACTTTTAGGGGTTATCTTTGCTCCGGAAAAGAATTCATTTCCATCTCTACTGAACAAAACCCTTATTAATGTATCAGCCTTCTACAAGTGAACATCTGATTTTACATACTCTGAGCCTAATGAAAAAGTAAATATCAAGTCGAAGTTACTTTTGCTAAATATTTTTGTCCAGTATGTCAACTATTAACCACGTGGGGGTCACTGAGCACTTGTAATGTGGCTAGTGTGAAATTGTACAAGTGTAAAATATGCACCAGATTTTGAAGATTTACCATATGAAAAAAAGAACAGAAACCATCTTAGTTTTTAAAATACTGATTACATGTTGAAGTAATAGTAGTGTGGATTTACTGAGTCAAATAAAACATATTATTAAAATTAAATTCAAAAAAAATTAAATTCATCTGTGTCTTTTTACTTTTTTCATTGTGACTACTAGAAGACAACATTACAGGTGTGACTCATGTTCTATTTTATTGTAAAGCATGCTCTTAGCATATCCGATGACCCACAAGTGGACTTACAGAATTTTCTAGTACACCTTGAAAAGATCTGAAGAAATAGCTGCTTTGTTTTTAACTTTTCTGAACACGAGTTATAAGGATCTGGAGAAGGGCTACTTGTTTTTCTGCCCTCTGGTCTCCACCATGTGTCCAGGAAGTTGGGAGCAAGACTTTGAATGCCTGGTGTCCTAACCACGAGAGATCTGGACTTCAGATTTGCATATAGAGAGATGTAATTTGATTGACTTAAACTGAGAGATCATATCAGAAAACTGAATCACAGTAAATCAAATTTACACACTGCTGATTTGCAAAGAGGAACATCAATTTATAGTGATGGGAGGTTCAGTGGCCTGGTAATCAAGACTCTAAACAACTATTTTCCTGGTGGTTATGCACACTTAGCATAGTTTCAGATGAAGAGCCAGGCTCACTGCACATAGAATCAGAACTGAGTGGCCGGTACTTATTTTATCTTTTTTACCAAAATATATTAGTATGATGAAGGTACTTTAGTTGTTTGTACACTTTCAGTGATTTCTTATAATTCCTATGCCAGAGTCACACTGACGGATGGCGGGCCAAAATGATTTTCTACGGTTGTTAATTCATCCATCACTAATCTCATTAGGCTGTTAAATTCCCAGAGGACATGACCAGTAGACACAGTTTCCACATGTTGAATGACTGTCATTCAGTGAAACCATGGCGTTATCCTCAGTCTAAAAGAAGATGCCTCATTTTTCATTCATCACTGAGCTCAATTTGTATAACCCCTTTTGACATCACATCTCAGACTGACATCTTTTGTACATATTTTCATCTAGATGTAGTAGTAAAGAATAGAATACAAACGGCCAACTTTAGAAGGGTTGAGAAGAGGTGAGTTTATCAGCAAAAAGTGGCATAACGATTGATTTGTTCTAGTACTTTTCCTCTATTTCTGTTTAAAATTTTGCCATCTAATTGTTTCTATTTCAAATCTCTAGTTCATCTTAAAAGTCAAAGTGCATCTTGTTAAATTCAGTTACTTTATTTCCATCTACAGCTTTGAGTTGCCAGTTAGAGTGTCCTTCTATACCATGACGTGTTAGATATTGTTACTGGAAGTAACCTACAATTTTCATGTGTTGAAATTCATCTCTTTAATGCAGCTTAGAAAAATAAATAAATATATAAATGCTTGTTTTCTTTGAAAACAGATCATCTCAATGTCCCTCCCTGCCAGAACTATTGGAGGTTATTTGCAGGCTCAGGGGGCCTCCCTTCTTCCCTTATTATTCCTATTCTTGAGGGTCAGACCCCCTGCCTTGCATAACCCAGAGGGGAACCTGAGAGTTTTTAAAAAACAGCCCAATTTCTCGCCTTTGGAGAAGTGAAAAGGTGCCCCGCCCCCGTCTGTAAAAGAGGGATTTGATAAAGAGTTTCAATGTCTTCAAATCAAAGATTTAAGTCTCTAACCCCCCACCATCCAGGACCCCCCAAGGCTTACGAACCCCCTCCATCCCGCCCTAACTGCTTTGGACTGGCCCCAGAATCCTTGTCCCAGTCCACAGTTCCTGTGGGTCTGTACACAGAATTCACAGAGGACCTGTGTTACTTCCCTTGCGAAGAAACATAATTATAGTGAAAATCTAGGTGGAAACCATTTCGTTTTTGGTCCTAAAAGAAGGGAAGCATGTACCCAACCACCCCTGAGAAAAAGAAGTTTCAGGGGCAAAGGAGCGAACAGGTAATTTAGAAGAAAAACAGAAAGTGGTCTCTGACTGCCCAGGACTTCCCTAGGAGTTGGGGGAATTGGGGACGCCTGGATGCGTAGTCTTTGTGGTTGCAGAAAAAATAAATGGAGAACACGAAGCCTGAGGCTTCTCGGATCCCTTCCCGACCAAATCCGGATGATTTGGTGCGGAGCATTTTAATATTTTCCCCCTTTTGTGAAGTGGAACAAACACAACTTGGGCGCACCGCGGCGGCTCAGTGTCTGCCAGGCAGCCGGGCGACTGGAGCACCAATCAGCGCGCGCCTGCGCTCTATATATACGGCGGCCCGGCCCAAGCGCAGCTCCATCGGCGTTTTTGCCACTTGTACCCGAGTCCCAGATCTTCAACATGTCTGAGACTGCTCCTGCCGCTCCTGCTGCCGCGCCCCCTGCGGAGAAGACCCCAGTCAAGAAAAAGGCTGCCAAGAAACCAGCTGGGGCGCGCCGTAAGGCCTCCGGGCCCCCGGTGTCGGAGCTCATCACCAAGGCTGTCGCCGCTTCCAAGGAGCGCAGCGGGGTCTCCCTGGCTGCGCTCAAGAAGGCGCTGGCGGCCGCCGGCTATGATGTGGAGAAGAACAATAGCCGCATCAAGTTGGGTCTTAAAAGCCTGGTGAGCAAGGGCACCCTGGTGCAGACTAAGGGCACCGGCGCCTCCGGCTCTTTTAAGCTCAACAAGAAGGCGGCCACTGGGGAAGCCAAGCCCAAGGCTAAGAAGGCGGGTGCGGCCAAACCCAAGAAGGCTGCTGGGGCAGCTAAGAAGCCCAAGAAGGCCACGGGCGCGGCCACTCCGAAGAAAAGCGCTAAGAAGACCCCCAAGAAGGCGAAGAAGCCAGCGGCGGCTGCTGTAACCAAGAAAGTGGCTAAGAGTCCAAAGAAGGCTAAGGCTCCCAAGCCTAAGAAGGCTGCCAAGAGCGCAGCTAAAGCAGTGAAGCCCAAAGCCGCCAAGCCCAAGGTTGCCAAACCCAAGAAGGCTGCACCCAAAAAGAAGTAGGTTGTTGAGCTTCTGCTTCTTTAAACCCAAAACGGCTCTTTTCAGAGCCACCACTGATATCAAAAAAAAGAGCTGTACATGCCTGCTTTACCTGCTCTGTCTTTCGTTTAGCCTTTATATTATAGGGGAAAGTGGCGCAGAAGTCATTCTACTGTCAGTTGGCTGCCGAGTAGAAAAAGCAAGGGGGATGGAGGGAGATTGGGGGGTGGGGGGGATGGAGGGAGATTGGGGGTGGGGGGGATGGAGGGAGTGGGTTCTGTTACTGTGCAGAAACTGACCCCAATTCAGGGGGTTGCCCCTACCCCTACAGTGCTCTGGCTCGCCTCCTGGTCAGCTGTTGGCAAACGTTTTCCGGCGGCTTGAGTACTTGGGATATCCGCCAGCCCCGCCCCGCTCCGCTCTTGTGAACAGCAAAAACAACCACAAATAAATCCAGCCAGTTTCGTAGTCTTAAGGGACATCCGATTGGGCTAACAACTTATTTAAAAGTCCCGCCCTGCTCGCGGGTTGGTTCACTCCTTCACCCCATGATTTTCATTCTGTGTTTAATTGGTTGGTGGCGGTCCTCCATAGTCTGTTTTCTTCCTGTTGCGTTAGCCCTTTTCGCTTGATAGAGAAATGTGTCTGATATTTCGGGCGTTCTCCATGTTTTCGAAAGTCAAGTTCGTGTCTCTGGGGCGTTGATAGCATCCAGCCCTGGGTGGGGAGTGGCTGCAGGCGCCCTTGCCCTGCATTCTGTGAATTGTGGTTTGCTGTGGCAGCAAAGGAACATTGAAAAGTAATTACAGCGGCAGCAACGACTCTTGTACTCAGGGCAAGCCTGGACCTGGGATCATTCAGTCCCTCGTATTGTGTAACTTTCGACAAATGGGTGATGGATTTGAGCTCATCGAAACCAACTTTAGTCGGCCATTTTGTCCTGGCCGGCCGGTCACCAATCCTCATTTTAGATAGATAATCTAAAATTGAAGATACTTTAAGTGCATTTTTGTTCAACCCAAATGTTTCTACGCCAAGAATACATTGGTAAATACATTGGGTGTGTGGATGAGGGTGATGATGTCTGTAATAAAGGGCTTTAGTTTCCATTGGCATTGTTATCTGTAGATTCTTTCATATTCATGGCGTTTCTCCTAGATAGAGAAAATCCAGCGTCCTGTTTTTATTCTGGTGTGCACAGAATTTCTCAAGTTCCCGGGACAGTGGCTTCTGCAGACCTGCAGCTCAGCGCTTCAACCATTGCAGCAACTACGAATCTGGTGTGTGTTAATTCCCGCATTAGTGTAATGACCAGGGAACTCATCCCTCCCCGCCTCCTTATTGAATTGGTTTAATTTATTCTTTGTTTTCTCTATAATCACGAATAGAAAAACTTCCCTTTGAAAGCACAGCGCACACATACGCGAAGAAAGACAATTCTCCCATCTTTCTTCCAGTAATTTTCCATTGTTAATTTTACATTTAAAATAATTGAGCCCTCTGTAGTTTGGTGTAAGGTTTAATACGTGGATAATTTTCCCCCCCAAATCATTTATTAACTCTTCCATTTCTGCCTCCCTTCTGCTCCCCATCCCATCAGCGCTTGAATTTCCACCTTTATCATAGGCTAATTTTTGTGGATAGGACTCATTCTGGGTTTTCTATTTTGTTCTTTTGGTCAGTCCCAAGGGTGAGATTGAACTGTTTTAAATATTGTTCACAGGGCTATCAATTCTGAGAATACATGGCCCATAGTAGATAAACAAGTAAGAATTGAATGTTTAATAAGCTGGGATGTTATAAGACTTTAGTTGCTAAGCGAGCTAATTCCCTCTCATTACTTTTTTAGAATTTTCTGGATTTTCTATTTTTTGTTTGATTATTTGTTTTGTTTTTCCACATGTACTTAATTAAGATGCTTCCCATCTCCTGCTTGTTCATTCTTCCATTACACATGAAAACCCTCAATACCCTATTGGTAGTTTTACTGGGATTGTGTTAAATTTATTAATTAATTTTAGGGGATGATGAGTTTTCCTATTCAAAAAACATTGTATATTTTTCTATTTGTTCAAATATTTTGTGTCTGTGGAGAATGTTTTAAACTTTCTCCAAATGTATCTTCACATTTCTTACTATCTTTATTCCCAAATATTGTATCTTATTTGTTGCTGTTGGAAATGGCAACCTATGATATTTTAGATTCCTTTGAGGGCCAGCATCCCATAAAGTGCACATCAAAGATACCCACATATTGAAGGGATCTATCCATAATGAATTAATAATTTCTAGAACAGCAGTGGCCACATAAATAAGGGGAAAAGATAAAATCAATTTTAACAATATAATTTATTTAATCCAGTATATCCAAAGTATTATCATTCAACATAAAATCAATGTAAAAATACTTAGGAGATATTTAACATTGTTTCTTGTTTCCCATACTATGTCGTTGGAATCTAGTTTACACATACAGGACATTTCAGTTCCCACTGGCCCATTTCAAGAGTTCAGTTAACCATTTGCGGCTCATAGCAACGATGTGGACGATGAAACACTATAATGACTTCTGGTCTCAAATATCCTAGTAGTCTTAACCTCACCTTTGGTTTAAAGTTTGAATGCCAGTGTGTCTTAATACAGATTGTCTTTTGTAGACTAAAAACGGAAGAAGAGTGTCTGACCTTAAAGAGAGGTTGATTGGTGCAGAGGTCATTGGGCCCATTTGAACCAATCAAAATTTTTCTATTCAAAAACTGGAATTCAGTTATAGAAATTGAGTTGACTTGATGTCAGGGGTTGGAAGCTGTCTTCTTAGACACTGTATGAGAAACCAAGAGATCTAGTGGATGAAAAGAACAGAATGGAGCCAAAGTGCAGAGAAAAGCAGAGATGAGAGATAGAGTTGTAATATCTGTAATATCTGTAATAACCTCCTGAGTTACTGGTTCTTTGAGCCATCGGAACTCCTGCCACTGGGGCCTCCTCACTTAGCTCAGGCTGGGTCAAGTTCCAACAACCAGGAGACCCGATTAAGACACCCCAAATATAGTCACAGTTAGTTCTTATAGTAATAGCATCGTGTACTTCTGTGTTCCCTTTCATCTTCCAATACTTTCAAGTCCACCCACTTGCTTGATTCTAAGAGGCAGGGGAGGAACCAACCTAAGTAAAGAGAATAAATTCTCTATAATTTTTCTTCAAATCTCTTATGAATGCCTTTTGGGATCTAAATTTATTGCGTTTATATACTTACAACTGATCATAGAATTGAATAATTCCTGCAAACATATTGGCATAGATGAAAGATGCCTTCTACTTTTAAATAAAACATAAATTCCTCAAAAACAAATATAACCATTCTTCTCTATTAAGGGTGGAGGGAGAGTTTATTCACAGAGATCTGAAAGTTATTGTAAAAATCTCTAATTTCACCTAGCCATTAGATACAATCTTCAACAATATTTCCTCATGTTCTTTAATTTTATTCCATTCCTTCACAATCTTTTTACATAGTTGACTGGCTTGGGTCTAATAAGCCTGTCAATGAAATCTAAAAAATGGCTACTTTAACCAAGAGCTTCTCGCCTTGATTTTTAGTTTGTAAGACCTATATTTTATTTTGACATTATTAATATTATTTCCAGTATTCATTTACTATTATAACATAATATTAACAACAGCAATAATATATTCAAATAATTGGCCAAACATGGCTGTTTAGCCAAAATGGCAATACACACTGCATAAACTAAACTGCTGACTGATAATTCAACAATGAGAATTCATGAAATGTTCATGTTAGAAGTGTGAGTGACAGAAACTAAAGGTAATGTGTTATTCTAAATTTTTTTTTCTGTACATACAGTGTTGTCATGTCTGAAAACTTAAATATCCTACTACTTCCCCTAAGCAGTGTTCAAGGGATCATTTCTCCTATGCCTGAGGGAAATGTAAAATGTGACTTTGTGGTTGAAATCCATGCCAGAGATGAACAGTACAGTACAAGACAGGATTACATGATTAGAGGATTTCAGAAGGGAACAGGAATTTAGGGCACAGTGGTAACACCAATAGTGTTGACAACCAGCATTTCTTGAGCACTAATTTACAACACGCCAAGCACTGTTGCTGAGCACCGTCCATTTATTTTCAAACATGTTCTTGTCACAGCACTTTGAGATAAGTCCCATTATTACTGAGGCTTGGTCACTTAAAGGACATAGCTAGTTAATTTCTGAGCAGTGGGTATAATTATCCGCTGGGTACTAGTGCTATTCCTCAGAAATATAATAAAAGCCACATATGTAATTAAAAATGTTCTAATAGGCACATTTAAGACAAGTAAAAAGAAACAAAATCAATTTTAATATTTAAACCCACTGTAATCAAAATATGATTTTACTAAGTGATCTAATATAAAATTAATGAGATTGTTTTATTCTTTCTTTTATACTAACTCTGAAATTTTTTACTAATTCTTTGGAATACAAATATCAAATTTCGCACTTAAGTTAAATTTTACACTTAAGTTCATCTCAGTTTGGACTAGCCACATTTCAAGTGCTTAATAGCCACATACTGCTAGTGGCTGCAGTATAGCTCTATAGTATATACTGAAAGGAAGACATAAGAGAATACTTGCTCTGGAGTAGAATCTAGATGTTTCCAAGGAAATCATTATGCTGACCTGGTCCTAAGCTGAAGACTAAAGACCATAAACTGCAGATGTTCATCCTTAAGACTGATGTTTCTTTTGGTCATCCGACCTACCTCATCTCATATCAGATCTCTGACTAGAGGAATCTGATAACAGAATGTAGCCCAAGCCAGGCCGCAGCAACCCCTCCCTATTCAACTTGAGTTGAACCCAATCTCCAAGACAGTTACCCTTGAGGAGGAAATTAGATCTGATAATCCATTCCTGGGTAATCTTATTAATCAAAAAATATTTAGAGGGTGGGTTTGGTGTGAGACTTCCTGGCCATATTTGCTAGCAGCATGAATTTGGCCAATTTACTAAACTCTCTTAGGCTGAAGTTCCTCTATTACATGGAGACAGAGAACTTACCTTTCAGTGTTGTAGCAAGAGATATACAATAATTGAGGCCAATCAGGTCATGTGGTACTTGACCCATGGAAAATTATCAATGTTAGCTATTAGACTGACTCATCCAATGACTCCGTGTTTTTTTTTTTTTTCTTCCTTCCATAGGGACCTTCCTAAAGGAAGGTGATATTCAGCACAGAATGGACATATGACACCTATAAAGTTGACCCAGTGAACTCACCTGCACACTGAAAGTGTTTCCATTCCTCACAGTTGACTCTATCCTCCCAATTAAGTCTCTCCTCCTAGTATCTCTCTTTGAGAAATGTACCATCATCCAAAGCATCATGTGAAGCAGTGCTCTATCTCAGAATCTAGAGAGTCATCCGAGACGTGATTCTCAACTCCTGGGGCACTCCACTGCAGTAGAACAGAGTGGTAGGAGGGTAGGGAAGGCCATATATCACCTGGTAACGCAGTCAGTGCTGAGAGGCAGGTTTACCCTAAAGCTAGTGAAACTCAAGTGTCAGACTTCATTCTTCCAAGGCCCTGGGAGTGTGTCCACTTGCTCTCATTTAAAAAAAAAAACCTTGTTTACATTTCTATGTTGACATATTTAATAACAGTTCATTAAAACTATTGCTTATTTCTACTTGATCTTCTCTTCCATTACAATTCACCTTTTGTCTGATTAGATGGGATGTTGATGAGCATATTTGGGATTTGAGAAGAGAAAATTTGCTTGAATATATATTTAGCATGGGGTTAATGAGATATATAAAGTGATTTGCAGATGTGCTCATACATAGTTCAGTTGTTGCTAAGCCAATCTGATGTAAGAATGGCTTCAAGGAATGCTCCTACTAAATGACAACCTCACCTGGATTACTAGCAAGAAAATGCAGCACTAGAAGTCATATATCCACTTATCCCCCACTGGGAGTGAGTGCAGAAGTGGAGAATTGAGATTTGAAATGTACAGAGCCAGAAGCTAACCTGTAAAGAATTCTTTCAAATTTTACAACTCACAAAGAAGCTTGACAGAGAATTTTTCAAATTT